TCCTATTATCACAGACGCCGATAGTCGTACCGTTAACAACGATCCCGAGGACTTTGAGTCATCACCAAATTCACCAGCGACTTCGTCACTTGAAACACGTTGTACATGAGTCTATTTCCGGGGATTGGGTCAATAGTAAACCGAGAAAATTAAATATACATTACAAAAATAACGAATCCTTGGTTGAACTATAATCTTGTCGGGTAAAGGCCTTGTTTGTAGTAAGTTATACTGTTTTGTAATAGTTATAGTTTTTTTTTGTCTCCTTCTTATCTTTCATATTATTAGCTATAAATACGAATAGCATTCGTTTTTTTTTGTTTGTGTAAATGTTAGTACTTAAAAAAATACAATAGATAATTTATTTTAGCGATTGTGATTGCAGTTAGGATATTTTATTATAGGCAGTATATTGTTTGTTAAATAGTATATGGTCATGTGGGTAAACGCATAATAAATAAAAAAAAAAAATGTTCATACACTCGCATGAGTATTATAAGCAGCAGTTTAAGTTTCGTTTAACTTACATTCTTTTTGTACATTAATTTCTCGTGAGGGAGGAAATGTAATATCTTATGGTAATGTGGGTAAACGCATAATAAATCAGTCTCGTTTAAACCGTCTTTGATTGTGCATAATAGCCAACCACACGTAATGGATTAGGTAGATATTATTATGAAGAAAATAAAAAGACTGCGTCGTTGACCGAGTGGTCGTAAGTGCGACTGCTGGGCAAGGAGTCTCGGGTTCGATTCCCGGGTCGGGCAAAGTATTACTGGAGCGTGGAATTGTGCCCGGTATATGGTAATAGGCTCACCCCCTATTACATGGGACTCATAAATAGTGAAAAGTGGGTGTTACATTCTACAGTGGTATAATTTGCACCTCTGCCTACCCCTTCGGGGATAAAAGGTATGATGTTATGTTATGAAAATAAAAAAGTCTGGTAGTTACTTTCTAAATGCTTTTTCAAAGAGATGCAACAAAATCAAATTCTAAGCACTGCTTTCATCGATTATTAAGACTTAAATCCGTCTGGAATAAAGGAACAACGAGTTCTGGATTAGAGCAAGAATTCATGTAGGGGCAGACTTTCTCTATCCATATATTTTTCCTTATAACTGTATTCTACTGCCTATCAAAACGAATTAATTCAATCAACATGACTACCTCTCTACCAGAGAGGTCACAAGTGCAACGAAAGCCCAGTAGCAGTTGTGTGTTGAGTTCTAATTTGCACAATTTTATTGGATTTCCGTAATACCTAGGTATATGAGTGCAAACTGGACGTTAGATACTTAAGTACGCATTATGCTGTGTGTGCATTCATCAATATGAATCCATAAGAAATTATCACGGTCCGGAAAAGGTGGGTTTCTAGAGTGATTAGTGATTCGATAAAGTATCCACTACGAAGCTGCTGCTGTACTTTTATGACGTGGATTTTGTAGGATTCGATACTCAGATGAGCATCGTTATTCCAATTAACTTCTAGGTGGTGGTATTCAGTGCTCTAGTATAGCCTAATTAACTAGTTGCTGCTATATTAGTCAGGTAAATACTAAATATTTAATGGGTATGAACATTTTTGACAACGTAGAAATAAAACATGTGCATTATCTGGCTGAGGCATTTATTAACATTTATTTTTGTTTTTCAATTTTTTTTCTTAATACAACATACATAGTAATTAACAATACATAATAAATAGTCCAAAAGTATATTACGCCTACAAAATAGCGTAGTCGTTATAAGATTATCGCCATATGAGTTGCTTACATGTCCTGCGAAATGTCTAGGCAACTCCATGACACGGCTGAAAAAGTGGGAATATTCTCAGAGAGAATGACAGGGAAAGTTCAGCAAGATTACCATGCATCACATTTACCAATGTGAAGTCGTTCATAAGTTTAGGTCGCTTAGATGTTCCTGAGTACGTACTCGACAGTGAGTAGGTGGATTCTCTCGGAGGCTATTCCATTTTTCATCCAAGCTATGCGATGACAATGACCTATGCGGCCTGCCTGAGTGAGCACGAGCGTTCTCTGCCTCTCGGCCGTCAGTTGGTATGACAGAGTCCGACAGTGTATCGCTGTCTGCGGTATATTGTGAGTCAACAAAGTATCAACGATTCAGTTTGTGCGGTCAGAGATAGTTAATCGTTTGTCTTCTGGCGAACACAACACTATGAGAAAATATACATATGTTAATATCTATCTAGTGGTAATCAATTAAATATGTATCTACAAAAATAGTTGCATTTTCAAATAATAATTGATTTTCCTCAAGAAGAACGGCTAATAAATTGATGGGTAGTTCCGTCTTGCGCAAAGGTTGATACAGCAAAATTTCTATGAAAATGTTTTGTGAAATATTAATTGACCAAACAAAGAGTTTTGTGTAATATTTATCCACTACAAGTGTGACATCTAAAAATATCGTTCTTCAACAGTAAATATCGTTGAAGTATTTTCCCCATTTGAGTTGTAGAGATACTTTAGGTAGGTATAAGTACGTTATGAGAAATAGATATTACAGTAATATCTAATTTGAACTGAGTTCTATCTTTCATTTCCAAAAGAGTTGTAGAAGTACGGTTTCAGTCGCAAGATACTGCGAGTCGTATAAAAGTGTCTAGAAACGATTTGTAAATGTTAGATATAAGTAGGCGTTTATTATATTTATATGACAAGTTGTGCTCATAGTAGGTGCTTACATATATTCAACAATCACTAGATATAAATACAATAAATAGGTGGGTGAGGGGTGCGTCGAAGTAATGGCGAAGACACAAGAGCGGTCACAGTGACAACGAGAAGCGGGCCGGGCCGCGGCGTGGCGACGCGAGCAGCCCCGGCACGATCACTACATACAGACAGTGGACTGGACAACAATTAGCATCTTCATTATTCTACATACACATACAGGTATATATTCATAAAATTGACCAAAATTGCAAAATGTTTCTAAAGTAATGGGACCATTCCAACTTAAATAACAGACACTTTGGATCAACACAATAGGTTTGACTAGTTGCAAGGTAACGTTATCTATAGGACATACAATAAATAAGATATCCATATATAGAATGTGCGAAGCTTAAACAGACGTGCCTGTATTTAATACAGACCAACATAACTCTGACATAGGTATCATACGTACATAGTAATTAGTACATATATTAAATTAATATTAATCACATTGATAGGTACATAGTCTATTCCCGAGATCTTGATTTGCATCTTAACCTATAAGTATTTAAAATATCACAATAAATTGCTGTGCACATACGAAACAGGCAAATTTTAGTGCAGTTAGATTAATTTTTAAAGATTTAATTCCGTCTTAATGAAAAATGTTCAAATTAAAACAATAAATACTAATACATAAAACATTAAATATAATCATAATTTAGTATTTGCCGAGTAGTCTTGGGGTAAAAATATATAATATTCTACATATGTCTAATTCGATTGAGATAAAGGTACGTAAAGTGTTAAATGCCATTAGGGAGATCATGTATGACATGATATTTGTAGTACGTACAAAAAGTAAAAGTATCTCAGAATTCATTGACATAAAACTATTGTTACCGTCATACTCGAAAGAGCTTTCAGTTCAATTAGTCGTTACTATTATTAGTGAAATAATTTCTAATTCAACAGCACGTAGCTGAAGCTAAATTGCTCTTTAATAATATACTATGAAAGAATAATACAACCTAATTACTCAAATAAACACAATTAATGTATCCCATTACTTTCAGTAGGTATACGTAAAGTTTAATTTCATAAACTGTGTAACTTGACTGTGGTATTGTCGAAATATAAATAATTGACCTTCCTAGTCAGGTCATTAAAATTTTAATTTGGATATAATGACTCGTATTTCAGGCAGCCTTCACCTATTTCTGGTAAAAGCTGGTAAACAAAACCAATTTACTTCACACGTGTACAAAAAATCTTTTGATTAATGTGTTTCTGTACTTAAAAAAAAGTATTAATATTTAATAGTGATAAGTCTTACATGAGATTAACATCAAAGCAGATACCTAAATATGTAAGTGTACATACTGAACTCGGTTTTCATAAATGTTTTGTTTGTTTATTATAAATACCGCCGAGTCTGCTGGCTCAAGAACTTACGTTCTAACAGACTATGGCGGTGTTTATTCAAATTTTGACGTATCCAGAATTATTATTGTAATTTGGAATTTACTTTAGTACAAAAGGCTGCTTCGATGTGCCTCCCAAGTCTCACATACGACCTATCTCCTCTGTGCGTCACATCCACTGTTTATGACTATAATATAGGTATTATACTTTCATTTACTATATTTGGCTTAGAAATATAATGTAATATTTGAATATCTTAAATTACTACCACAAAACTAATTATTTTAGTGACTAGCTACACACTGATTGGGGTGCTAGAAATAAATCTCGACTGTTAATTGGTGCATTGACTACAAACTACCAAACGACACTACCTCGTACACATCAACCTTTCCTACTGAGTATATATTTTTTAATAATTTAAATGTTGTTTTCATTAACTATATCTACGAATTAAATGTTATATTTTAAGAATCTAAACAATAACTACCATAGTTCACTTACTTACGTCATGTAGAATAACGTTCCTATACTTAATTATAGTGGATGTGATCATTTAATTATATATTTTCGCAAGAAATAAGTAACCAATTAGATAATGGCTTGTTCGATGAAATAAACGTACGTATACCTACTCTAGTTAGCTTGTAGCTTCATGGATGTGGTCGACGATATTTATATGTAAACACAAGTCTTGTTTTTCTTCTTTGTGGAGTAAATATTTGTTACGGAATGTTTTCTTACTGTTCAGTTGGTTATTTTTAGGTTTGTATCATTCTGAAATTTTATTATGTCAATGAATTTGTGACATTTCAGGCACTAAGCTTTATTTCGTCGCAATAAATGGCAATATTTTTCTCCTGAATGAAAATTCATAAACTGTATTAACCTAAATAGGAAAAACAGGTACACCTTATTAAAACAAGTAAGTAAAAGGAACTGAGCACTGACTAGAAGTATTGATTAAGGAGGAATGTATGGCTAATAAGTTCCCCAGACTAGATCGGCAAAGGACATGAACAATTTTTCAGTCAAAAATACTAACTTTATTCTAGCCATATTGAACATATCAGTAACTCATACAAAAATTAATATCTATATAATTAAGAATTAACCAAATAAATGCATCTTTAAATAAATCGATTATTTTATAATATTACATAATATAGCTGCCTCTAGTCGAGATCAATTTATGTTAAAATACTTAATGCTCTCACATCTTAATAATTGTCTTTTGAAAGTAATATACTTAAGTACAAAGTTATTGATAAATCAGAAAAAATAATGGACAAGAGTGCCAACGACGGCTGATCACCAAGTTCTAGTGCGGACTCGTCGGAGCAGTCGTCGATCGCATATTATAGGCCGACTAATTAAACAAATATAAAATAATTCATTTGGTATCTATCTATATACAACACATTTTTAAATTTCTCTTATTTACTTTACAACCCTCATTATAATAAGGAATGTCATAACTTAATGTAGAGTAATTACATAAAGTGAATACATATTTTAACAAATCGACAAACATTTACGTTTTGCCAAATGAAGAACTATTCTAAAATTTTATGTATATGTTCTACTGTCTAACAATGTTGACTACCAGTCTCACATTTTAGTTTAATAAGTGCTAGAAGGTATGAAATACATGGAAAATAAATCAGCTGCGGAGAAGTTTAATTGGGACGAAACCAGATCGTATCACTGCTTTCCTTCGTTCACTGGGCGGGCCAGCGCGGCGTGTTCTGTTGTCTCGATTGTCGCAGTCGGAAACCTTACACTACACTTTAAGTGGTCATGTTTTGGCATAGGCTGCACCACTACTTGATATGTTTCATTACGTTCAACGCATGTACGAGTTATGACTGGTTGCGCCCGAATACTATTTCTAGGAGTTCGCAGCTTTCACTGATCGCATTTAAGCACGGGGCCAATCGATCGTATATTTTACATGAGGTCCGTGTAGCACTGGCGGAGTATTAGAGCACTAAAGGGTCAGGGTCCGGGAGGGGTCGGTCCTTAGCGGCCGCGCGCCCACCGGAGTAGCGCGTCGGCCAGGACATCTAGGTGGGCTTTCGTCTGCAACAACAACGCAACATTAAGTACTCGGCCACTCATCAACTTTCAGGTAGGTGCCTATCATGACTTACATTTACGATGAAAATAAACTAAAAAAATAGTCTTAGAGTCTTAGAATTTTAAGATTTCCTATCTGCCAAGGGAGATCGTACTTGATAGAGAACATAAAACAATTTATTATTCATACATGAAATAAAGTAGTTAGTATCTTCTTATTTGAACATATCGGAAGATTGGAGGTTGGATTCTAAAACACATGAGAGTTTTATCTCGATATTCATGCTTGATTACATTACGTGCTATTGAGTAGTATGAAAGAAATAAAGAATCCTTACATCTCATACAGCAGTGAATATTAAGTAATATTAGTAAGTATAGAATCACCGTTTTGTAGAACATGCAAGCTTGTCGGTCCTCATCCTCGCCACTGGGGCAGTCGATGAAGCCATCACACAACACATGGTCGTCAATGCAGCGGTAGCGCCCTTGTCGGTCGGGTGTCGGGCACGCGAACCGCTCCATGCCATCCGCAGCCGGTGGACATTCTGTAACAACATGATTTATTATAGAACACCTATATTTATATTATAGAGTTTGTTTATTTGCCGTAATACATTTGTCGAGGAAGGCTTTATAATTACATATAGGCCATAAAACAATATGCTACGACCAATAGCCGAGCAGCGTGTGAAACCGCGCGGGACAACAGCTAGTTTTCTCTATAAAAAGTAATAGTTACTATAAAACTTTACAAAGTTATAGAACAATATCGGAAAGAGATTTAAACTTGACAATGTTACGCAGTAACTTGGTGCTGCGTTACGTACCTATTGTTATAGATGCTTTTATTAAACATCGTGTGTCGAAAATACTTAGTCACAGCTATACTAATTTCTGAGCAATTTCTGACGTAATTATAGTTTACTAACTAAAAATCGCGGGCTACGCACGTGAATGTACTAAGAAAAGCTCTACTAGTACTAGACTGCGCACGCTGCTCATAAGGAAGAACCCATCTGTGGTTCGAAACTAGTAGAGCTTCTCTCAGTATATTCACGTGAGTAACCTGCGATTTTTAGTTAATAGTATGCCTCACGATAGTTATTATAAAAACGTAATTACAGTTCTATGGCAAATCACTTATAGTGTGACCATCAACAGTGTACAATATATCTAACGTGCCATGAAGCTATTATCTAATGAGTTGTATCTTATTTCGTTTTCGTGAATATATAAAATTTGTATCTATAATAGTTCAAATATCAATATTCATTACTCAAACAAGGGTAATGAACTTTGACCTTTGTTTAAAATCGAGTCACTTATAACTTTGAGTTGGTTCTTTGTGAATTGTGCTCCTCAGCCCGTCTCGTGAATGGGATTTAATAAGCTGTGCTAGCATTACATAGGGTAGGTACTGTGTTGTTTTCATACAATGTATATATTTTTGGATGTCGCGATACTGGTATTTATTTCGGTATTTTGCAGATTCTCATAGCACTTAGTCAAAAATTATGCCAGGTATATTGTGGCAATAGGCTCTCCCCTTATATTAATGAGAGTCCTTTGTCTAACTCTTTTATGAAAAAAGGTCGTGATGTACGTGTTTATATTACGTTTCTTGGAAAATAGCCTCTATCCTAAAGACCACAAAAGTTTATTTACCATGCATGATAATGACCTGGCTCCAATAATCTTTGATATTCAGTGACTGTAAAATGGTCGATATTGTATGAAAGTGTTAATTAAGGGGCCGTCCTTATAAAGGATCAAAGCAATTCGGCCAAGTGACCATAACTTGCGTAAAGGACATACTCCCTTAGTATCGGAGTCTTCTGTGTTACGTAATTTTATATGTATAATAATAGAGACTATTCCTAATTTTCCCGATGAATTGGCGAGTTTTTCTCCCTTACGGAGAAAGAAGAATTATCCAATTTGGTCGAGTAGTTCCGGAGTTATGTCCTTACATACATTTCTGTGATTCATTTTTATTCACATAGGTATTAGAATTCCTGCTTCTTTCTCCACACATGAGAGTTTACCGCAGAAAAATAAATACACAATCTATTTATTTAAATTTTCAAACTAAATGCGTAATATTTACATCGGATCTGTTTAATTATTATTTTAGTTATTTCTTTACTTAAATTCCGCAATAGCCGTTTCATTTTAGTTCTCTGTTTATAAAATAATAATAAATAGAATAGAGAAGGCTGGTAACGGAGTATCAAATCTGTTGAAATGAACTCCTCTCTATCTTATTGTACTAAGATTGTACCGTCTTTCCAGTTTCCACAAGTTAAACTTAAGATGACTTAAGTTTCAAACAATGACTTAATTTTAAGCGTAGGTCTACGACTAGAAGAGCTTCTAAAATAAATTGTTGTTTCTACTAAAACTTCATCATTATGTTATATTTTCTAACAGCTGGTATATTAAGAAGTTTCGGTTCGATTTCCATGTCGGGTAAATTAGAATTATGATATCTTCGTTTTGATGTCTTATATATATTGTTTTTCGTTTACAATATTGAGAGTAATACAAGAATAATATAATTTTATAACAGACATTTATATCAAAGGTTTTCTGTTATTGTCGAAATCCAAAGTTAAAATCATCAAAGTCGTACAATTGTACAAATTGTTATATGTGATTACACCTACACAAGAAATACTCGCTGCGAAATGAGATCGTCCTCGTTTTTTCTTCGTTTGGTCGATAAATAACGACTTATCTCACATTTTAACAAGGGAAGAAAAACATCGCACGTGAGCCCACATGTTGTAACATATATTCTCATAAGTCTGATAGTACATATTATAAGGATCGATAGGTCACATACATGGCACGCCGGACTTACAAGGAATAAAGTGAACACTTTATTTTCTACAGTAAAATTCTACTAAGCTCTCATATATACACAGAAAATCGAATAAAATTCTGATGTTATTTTACCTGCAAAGTTAAATTAAGTTTCTTCGATATTTATGTCACTTTTACTGGCGGAGGACAAAAAATAATAGATGACATTTAGATGACCTTTTTAAGAGGCACTTCATAGACCTCTGACGTGTCATGGAAAACATCATAAAACGTGAGTACATAACATAAATGCCGAGTAAATATATTTGAAAAGTTAGTGAACGTATTACCAGTCCGATTTATCAAGAATAAAATATGATCATCCATTTCGTAGCAATGAGTGTGTTCTCAGCTCTTTAACTAAAGTTATTGTAAGTTTCGGTCAGTTAACTGTGCGATATTCCGAAACTCCGCGACTAAACTGGTTGCTTACACAGACTATGATGGCAGGCCACTCAATCCGAGCGTCTATTTTTAGCAACGCCGGGGAAAGTGAAGCCCATGGCTCGATTGCGCGCGCCCTCTATATACCTCTATCCTTAGCCTCTATCTATTCACTTTGTGGGGAGGCAGCGACGACGTCTTGTGCATTCGTAAGCAGCTATTGGTACCGTTCACGCGAAATACCACTTTACGGTTATCAAATATGCTATTCATACTATTTTTAAACTCTTATTATACAATTATCGTTTTACTAGAAATACAATTTTAACATTTTGTAGAATGAAAGAAAATGTAGTCTACAAATGTCTTGAACTTGTTGTGAAAAATACTGATACAGGTATTAAGAAATAAAACATTTTTCATTAAATACATCGTAAGAAAACGAAGGCGTAACATTTAATGATAATCTCATAATACTTTAAGTCTCACAGTTTAATTAACGGCGTCATAATATAATTTAATCATTTTGTATTTATCACACAATTTCGATCTAAGAAATTAACTTTAATGGTGGCATTTTATAGGATTATTTATAGAAGATCAAGTACGTGTCAAAACAATAAAGTAATAAGTGGTAGCATTGATGGATATAGTATGGCCTATGAGGAAAATAAGTACCGTAATAAATCAATGACGTTTTCGTTTTCGGTGTGCAGATATATAATAAAAGTTTACACGCTTTATATCACGATGTTAGAAACTAAGTTAAGTGAATAAAACTTCTGAAACAGAATGAAACTGTATATATAATTTTTATAGTATACAATATATAGGTACATACATAGGTAGTATCGCAACACAATAAATGCAAAACTTGTTGATAAAGTTTAACAATACGAAATAAATGGAAGTTTTTCAATAGTTTTGGAAATTCATGAAAAAAATAGGTAGAAGTAGAAGAGAATGTCTAAGTATAATATTAATAGCTAGTTTCACGGGCTATATAATGTATTTATATAGATTTTGATAATCGATAGCAGTCACTAGCTGCCAGTTGAATCAAGTACTTACTTGAGAGTAATGAACCCGACCGTACGTCCGCCAGTTTGGAAAGTATTAATAAATAAATTCAGCCTAACCCAAAGTTACGAGTGCACTAAAACACCCTTTCATTTTATTTTTCATGATCATACTTTCATCATAGTTTTCTTTATAGACGGGGAAAAATCTCTAAGTGTCATTTCATCAAATAGTAGAGCGTAGTTCTATAAAAGAGTACTGTACGCGACTGTAAAACTGAAGTTACGTGCTCACGTAAAGCCAGCATCAAGTATTCAGGGCGATGGCAGATACAAGCCGCCTCCGGGATCTTAATATGGCTTTTAAGAGCTCGCACTTTTGAAATATCTGTCATTTGTAACACACTTTAACGTTTAGGTATCTCGAGATTCTCACCTTATATCATGTTACAAGATATCTTGAGATTTCACGGTCTTTATTTGTTGGGTTTTGCTTTTACATAGGTTTTCATTTGTAAGGGTTTCTTTCATTTTTATGAATGTTATACTTACTGCTCTCTTAATATTTTATGTTTAGCATATAAGAATATTTTCACGTACACAGCGAAATTCTGCACGTAAGGTCATCTAACCTTCTGTTTAGCAGTGTATTCAAAAAGCTGGGTGAATATTTTTACATGCACTTACAGTGTAGAAAACGCTAATCAAATGCTATTCACTCGACATCTGGGACCATAACGCTACGTCGAGTAAATTAGGTGAGTCTAGTTTCATGTTTTAAAATGTTAGTTTATTTTTAGTATTACTTTTTCTTAACGAGTAAACACAGGCATCTAAAATTAGACTCGTTGTTCTACATTTTAGCAGAAAATTATAAAAATAAAATACCGTTTCAAAAATATACGAGTAAACTTATTTAGGTTGTTACATTCCGGAAAATTCTACCATAATGCGTGTGTAGCACGCATCCGTTTCTTTATTAAACCTAATCGTCCATAAAAAGAAACTACTACGAATTTGTAGGTTGTTATTATTAACATTCTGTCATTCCGTAAATAAAAAATAAGTTAATCTTGAATAACAGTCAAAGTAAATTGTTTCTGTAGAAATTATGTTCTAAAAATAAATACGTTAAATTATGTCTCATAGAGAATGCTTAGTTATAGAAACAGACAGCGACTACTTAAAACACCGCCAAGTTGGTACATACGTCACGAGCGTGGGTGTTATCCCGTATTACTCATGATAGTGATC